AAAAAAAAAAATGAAGCAAAAATTCAGATTTCCGTTTTCTCTGCAGAAATATTTCCTTATGTGGTCCATAACACACTTCGCTCCACTATTTAGTTACAGTTTTGCAAAATAATTAAATGAAAACTAAAATCCAAGATGGCGGAATGTTCCGGTACGAAAATAAGGGGCGAGACTGTGTATCCATGATCTACGTCTCAAATAGAAGTAACTGCATCAAAAGTTTGCTACTACAATTTTTTTTCTTCGTAACAACTTGATCTAAGTTTATTTGGCTAAAATTTAACTTGTGAACTCCTAGAAAATACCACGTAACTTTACGTGAAAAAAATGCAAAAAACTCATGAAAAACGTGGGTCGCATGCAATAGACTTGAATTGATATGAAAAGTAATGTATGTATGTATGTATGTGGGTATATCAATAACGATCTCTTAAAATCGATCTCAAATTTGTACTTTCGCTGTAGAATTTTTAGGTTTATGTTATATAGTTTGACTATTGTCAATTAAATCTAATGCCCTCCACGTTTTTCGTTTTCAAACTAATAAATTGTTTATAATGGCTTTTGCTAAAACTTCAAAGTCAAAAGATATCCAAACAAATTCTATGGGACTGAGAAATATTAGTTTCTAAGTTTTAGTCCATTTATAAAAGCGTGGTATATTAAAACGTTTTTTTATTTTATTTTATTTATTTGTAATCTAAAAACGACCACAAAAATCAAGGAAATAGTAGATAAATACTGATAAGAGTCTGCACCAATGGTTAGGCAGTAACTTGCTGTATTCCGCTTTGGTCTTACCAGCGCGAGTGACGCTGAGCCTTTAGGTCACCAACAAACGATCACCAACCAAGAAATTGTGGATTAAATTCGTTGAATGATATTGGACAATAAGCAAGTCGTAGTGCGTGAGGTGACTAAGGTTATATAAGTGGATGCTTTGGCGTGAAAACAGTGCACTTCTTATATGTCAAATCATTTCTTTGCAGTCGCAATGGAAAGAACACGATTACGAACTGCGACCTCATGTAGCCTTTTTTCTATATATAGCCTTTTCGACTATTTTCTGTTTCCAAACCAAAAGAATTGGCTCGGTCCAAAGCAAATTTATGTATGTAGTAGGTTGTGTTACAAGATCAGCTGATTTTGTGTATGTGTTTCGCCTCACGGCTTATAATGTCAAATTGAAATAGTTTGTTTGACATTCACACACACATTTACAGATTTTGACAGTTCACGCCGCAAAAGCAAAAAACAAAATACATGTACATTTTTGTTTTTGAACTTCTCCTATCACTTTATATTGATTCGCCT